CAATGAAATTAATAGGCAGCGTGTTTAAAAACAAAATAAATACTTCTTCATTAAATACTCCTTTCCACAGTATCCTTTGCCAGAGGATGTTGTGAAGGCCAAGACTGTAACAGGGTTCAAAAAAGAACTAGATACATTCATGGAGGATAGGTCCATCAATGGCTATTAGCCAGGATGGAGAGGGATGGTGTCCCTCGCCTCTATTTGCCAGAGGCTGAGAGTGGGCAGCAGGGGATGGATCACTTGGTGATTACCTGTTCTGTTCATTACCTCTGGGAACACCTGGCATTGGTGGCTCTCGGAAGACAGGATATCGGGCTCGATGGACCTTTGGTCTGACCCAGTATGGCCATTCTTATGATGCACAATCAACCTGTGGAACTTGTTACCAGGGGATATTGTGAAGGCCAAAAGTATAACTGAGTTCAAAAAAGAATTAGACCCGTCATGCAGGACAGGTCCATCAATGGCAATTATCCAAGATAGTCAGGGATGCAACCCCATGCTCCGCATGACCCTAAACCTCCAACTGCCAAAAGCTGGGACTGGACGACAGGATGGATCACTTGAAATTGCCCTGTTCTGTTCATTCCCTCTAAACCACCTTGTCCTAACCACTGTCAAAAGACAGGATTTTGGGCTAGATGGACCATTGGTCTAACGTAGTATGTTCAACAGTTGTGAGTTGCTCTGTTGAATGGAGACTCATCAGCCAGCATGCCCCTTCATGGTGTGGTGTATTCAGGGTCCTTCCCTCTGGCACCTCCTTCCTCATCTTGTATAGGGCAACGCCTCCCAGAGCTTTGTCCGTGGAGGTCCGGCTCCTTGTCTGCTTCTCCCCAGACTCTATCCCACCCCCTCCCAGAAGCCTGAACTGCCTCTTTGGTGTCTAGCCCTTTTGCCAAGGCTTACCACAAGAGCTTAGTCCACTCCTTGGCTTCCCAGTGTTTCTTGGCCTCTGTCAGAAGCTCCCTTCTTGGTAGAAGATCCCAAGTCTCACTCTCCTCTAGACCTCCCGCCTCCCTTCTACTCCTGAAATCCTTCATTAGCACTGCCATCCCAGCTCCTCCCCACTGGGCCTGGCCCACCCTTCAGGTGCCCTAATTGCTCTCTGGCTCCAGTAACTCTCTGCCAGTGTGGGGTACATACCATTATAGTCCAGTACCGGGGGAGGGAGGTATACAAGTACCTTTACAAGTATATCTACATAGGGTCATTTCCTTTCCATGATCGCTGTTCAACTGAACTGCATACTTTTTGGTCTTAAAAGCTAGGGTTGGTATTAATGTAAACCAATGTTTCCTAAACTATGTTCCGCGGAACACTGGTGTTCTGCACTATGTGAATAGGTGATCCGTGAAAGAATCATAATTTAAAAAAAGGATCTTCGCTTTTTTTAAATTTTAAATTTGGCATATTTGAAGCATAGTTTACAACTCTTTTTGAATGACTATAATTTAACAAACTCTTTTTCCGGTTATTGATAGATCTTGTATTGAATATCATGGCGCAAAGAGAATGTGACACGCAAGCATGTTGACATCTACCCCTTTCGGGCACGTTTCAGTTAGTGACGTCGTACCCCTTCCGCTCGACGCTGCGCGAACTGCAGTGGTATGCACACACCATTCTCTTTACGCCATGTTGAATATAACATTCACTCAACACATTCAAACCTGTGGGTCTTTACCGTGTGTGCAATAAGCACAACTAAACTAACTTCGCTCGAAACAATATAAATATTTGTGACAAACAAAATTTGACAAAAATCAGTATTTCTAAATATTGTTACTAAATCTAATCACCATGGATTTATGGCTAAAAGAAGGAACTTTGAAACGAAAAGCAAGTTCTTCTGGAACTCCAACTGTGGCCGAAATAAACGAGCAAAATATTGCGACACTTCAAAGTGAGGATGAACAATCACAGTCTTTTGTTGCCAAAAAAAATCTGTTAGTACTAGTGAGTTATCCAAGGTGAAAGAATTTCCAACGAAATATATCAAAAAACCAAGAAGAAGCAGGTGTTAAAAGACCAAAATGAAAGTATGATGAAAGTTGTCTTTCGGTTTTACGTGTGTTGGAAATAAAGATGTTCCTGATGCGCAGTGCGTCGTGTGCAACGAAAGATTAGCAAACAGTTCATTGGCTCCTGCTAAACTTCGTAGGCATTTGGAAACCAAGAATCTGAATACAAAGACAAAGTTTTTTCAAGAGGAAGCGTGACTCACTTGGAAATTGTAAACTTTCGATTATTAAAATCGCTAAAACAGACAACAGAAGTGCAACAGAGGCATCTTATCAAGTAAGTTACCATATAGCGCTTGCCGGAGAAGCTTACACTACTGGAGAAACGCTTATCAAGTCTTGTGCGAAATATATTGTAACGTGCATGTTGAGCGAGCAGTCTGGTAAAAAAATTGATGCTGTACAGTTGTCAAATAATACTGTTGCACGCCGTATTAAAGATCTTGCCGATGACATAGAAAAAGAGCTAGTTTGCCGACTGAAAATTTGCCATGAGTATTCATTGCAGCTAGATGAGTCCACTGACGTTTCAGGACTTGCTGTGCTACTAGTATTTGTCAGATATAGATTTAATAATATTATTGAAGAGGACCTGCTCTTACGTGAATCTCTGCAAAGCAACACAATTGGAGAAGAAATATTCAACTGCATCAACAATTTTATCAGAAAGCATGAAATTAGTTGGGGAAAATGTATTGATGTATGCACTGACAGTGCTCGGGCAATGATCGGGAAGATGAAGGGAGCTGTAACGCGAATCATAAGTATGGCACCAGAAAGCACTAAGAGCCATTGTGTTCTACACAGAGAAGCACTTGCAGTTAAAAAAATACCAGCATATCTGAAAATTGTGCTCGATGAAGCAGTACAAATTATCAATTTTGTCAAATCTCGACCACTTCAATCCAGGTGATTTAAAATTTTGCGTGAGGAAATGGGTAGTCAGCACAAAGCGCTTCTTTTACATACGGAAGTGAGGTGGCTATCCAGAGGAAAAGTGCTTGTGAGGCTTTTTGAGCTTCGTAGTGAATTACTGGTATTCTTCACTTCAGATAATTCAGGATGAAAATTTAATGACTGACTGACAAATTCCTCATGGCTAATGAGACTTGCGTATCTTGCAGATATTTTTGCAAAATTAAATGAAATTAATCTGTCGCTGCAAGGAAAGAATGTGACCATTTTTACTACAATGGATAAAATTTCGTCGTTAAAGAAACTGGAATTCTGGGCTATAACTTCGACTGCTTCCCTACAGTACATGAATTTCTGACTGAAATAAATTCTACAGTCCATGAAGAAGTTTCCAGCACCATTTTACAGCACTTACGTGACTTGCAGGCCTCTTTATTAGAATATTTTCCTACAACTACTGATGATAATGCTTGGGTTCGAAATCTGTTTGTAATTACAGCCAAACCAGTCGGCTTTACTGCACACGATTATGAAAGCCTAATTGACTTAATTTCTGACTCTGATTTGAAACAAAAGTTTAAGGATCTTCCGCTGAATAATTTTTGGAGCAGCCTAATAGAAGAGTACCCTAATGTGGCTAAACGTGCAGTTTGAGTGCTCCTTCCTTTTGCTACAACTTATTTGTGTGAGCCGGGATTTTCGTATTATACCGCAACAAAAACCAAATATAGGAATAGACTTGATGCTGCGCCTGACAGGAGGCTTCAACTTTCCCGCATTATTCCTAATATTAAGCGAATTTGTGATAGAAAAACGCAGAAACACCAATCCCATTAAATCCAAATTTGTATTTCTGTTTATAAAAATAGATTTTCCTAGGAAAAATCTAACTTGTTTGGTGTTTGTGTATATATAAAAACAGTTTTTTTTTAAGTAGACCAGTTTTTAATTTTGACTCTTGCACTTGATTTTTGTACTACTATATACGCACTTTCCAGTTACAAATTGTTAGCTCAAGTTACTTTAAAATTTGTATTTTTGCTTTGTTTTATAAAAAAATATATTTGAGCATAAATAACGCAATTTTTTATTTGAAAACCAAACTACTACAAAATATTAGAAGTGTTCCGTAATAGGCTAAAAAGTGTCCCGTGGCCAAAAAAGTTTGGGAAACACTAATGTAAACAATAACCCTGGGAAGTTGTATCCCCAATATCAGCCGAAGTCTCACTGTGCTATTACCTTCTATCCCCACCCCCAGTTCTAGGTCTCTCTAATGCAGGGGAAGCCAACAGGCGAACTGCGGGCCAAATCTGGACCGCCAGACGCTTTTGAACCAGACCCCAAAATCTTTTTATTTACAAATTATTATAATTATTATTTTTGCATTATTTTCTCTGGAGTCTGGACCTCGAGTACACCTTCATCAAGAAATAATTGACTACCCTCTGCAATGGTTGAGATCAGCAGAGGCATTTTTACTAAGTCTTCAGAATTGCATACCTAGGGCCTGGAGGAACCAGCTCGGCATTTTCAAAAGAGGTTTGAGGTTTTTAGCCTTGAAGCATGGTGGAGACTCCCTTTTGGCTAAGACTTTGTTGCATGGCTCAGAACTAAGGTACTGGCTTTTCCCATTCCTTTCCTGGCAGGGCACTGGTTGAGTGGAAGAAGGTTAATATTGCTGCTCATATGGACAGCTGCAAACTGATGTATCCTAATATTGCTACATTGGACATAAGTTGTTAATAGGGAGAGTTTCAAAAACAGTTAATAGATTTAGGACCATAAGTCCCATTGATTTTCAATGAGACTTTTGTTTCTGGCCACTAAAAAGGTCTTCTAAAACAGTAATTTTAATGCTATTTGTTTTAAAAAAAATTACACTGAACTCAAATCAATGGAATGCCAAACCTTTTATCCCTGCTGAATTGCGTATCCAAGCTGAGATTCCCGTTCTGTGCTTTGAAAACAGAGGCATATATCCTTAAATATTAAACAGCATTGATAAAATCATCCTTTCAGATGCAATATAAAAAACAGGAAACATTACAAAAAGTCTTATTTAAAACAAAATTCTTTAATAATTTGAACTATAAAGACAATTAGTACTTGAATGCAGCATGGATAATAGATTAAATACATTATTACTTAAATATCTCAAAGCTGATGTGTTTTGCAAAACAAAAAGGGTTGACGCACATAAGCCTAGGGTTAGTTGCCAGTTGTTTCCATATGAAGATTGAGTGCAGTATATCAAAATATTTATTAAACATTTCTTAGTACAACTGCTATTGCATATAGTCAACCCCTATTTATATATTTTTTTGTCACAGTGAATTCATCTGCAACAATATCTTGAATTGGAAAACAAAGATTACGCTAAAACAAATAGTGTTGATGTTAGAAAGTTTGGTCACATAACACATTGGCTATTCCATGTCCATAGACAGGTTATCTTCTAAACAGTAAACGATGCATTATCAGTGCATTAAACTGGGTTCAACAGAGTCAACATCAATTTGACAGAACATGAGACAAGCAGTAACCAAAATCACTCTACAAAGTAACTGTTGCTTATGCTCCTAGAATCTCCCTTCCCTCTGCCCCCAGAGCAATACTGTGCATGGTCAAACACTGGAGTAAAATTCTGTTGCAAGACAGTGACTGAGGCCTCAATTCAGCGAAGCATTTAAGCACATCCTTAAGTCACATTCAGCGGGACTTCGTGTGCTTCAAAGTTCTGTAAAAGAGGGATGGACTTGAGCATAACTTTAAGAACGGTCTTAAGTGCTTTGTTTAACTAGGGCCAGATTCATGACATGCCAGATAATCAAAAGGGTCATTTAACTTTCACTTGCAAAATCTCATCAATGCATTCTCAAGATAGGCAACTACCTGATTTATGCTCAACAGTTGTGGGATTCTGTGCGCACAAAATGTGCAGGTGCCGATTTAGAGGCCTGTACAAATTGGACTCAGTTCAGTTTGTGACTGAACTACTCCACTGCAAAACTGTAATTACAGATTTGTAATTGAAAGTAGTTAAATGGCTCCAGCAAGTGAAAACAGAGATTGTCAGAGCCAGCCAGAGAACTTAGGCCCGATTTCTATAACGGATAGCCTGCCAACGCTTGTGCCTGTCTGGAACTCCCGAGAAGCCAATGAGACTCTCCATGGGAGCAGCAGTCCACCCAGGCGCTGTCAAACAGCAGGGTCAGGAGTGATTTAGCCACACACCTCTCATTGAAATAAATGGGGGCTGTGTGGTTAAGTCCCCTGGTTGGCTTTCAAAATCTCAACTGATTCATAGTACAATAATAAGAGATGGATGGAAATTACGCTTATTGTGCTAGTTGAGTAATAAGGCAGCAAAAGGCTGGATAATGCAGTATTGCATATTTCTGGAGGTCCACTAAAAAACACCATTTGAATTCTGCATTATAGGATTTTTTTTTTTTGTAATAGCTAAATAATCATGTAACAAAACCCACCACCCTTTGGGATCTTGCCCACACTATCAAAAACCAAAACAATAGAATTTCATGCTTGGAGAACATGGGGGCTGAGAAAAATCAGGCACTTAGCAGCATCTGCTAATTGTATGTAATTTTGCATGCTCAGTGACAAAAAACGTTTGAAAACTTAACAGTGTCATTACATTATCGGATTTTCAAAAGCAAAGAAAGTAGAGAACGTCCCTGACATGCACGAAACATTTTTGTTCATGTATAGAATAATCCATTCTATATTCCATCCACGTAAAGGTACACTGTACTATCCAATATATTGCATAAAAAATTCCGTCTACAGTACCTCTATAGCAAATAATTCAGAATCAATATTAAAAGTTAAGCATACAGGCTTCAAAACATTCAAGCCTATTACACACAGGTGTCTAAAGTGCAGTTATCAGGAAAAGTGATTAAAACTGATGCTACGGGATTCTCTGTTTATACTCTCATTGACTCCAGTTAAGATTTACTATGTTCTCCTGCCTTCCCATCAGTAAATGTTTCTCCAGTTAGAATTTTTCTTCTACAGCTATACTGCTTTTGGAGTGTTAACCAAACTGTGCATTTAAACCCCAGTCCTGCAATTTACACAACGCAGGTGCAGCCCCACTACAATCAAGGGATTGCTTCATCTGCGTATTGTCAATTGTAAGATCAGGCCTTAATGTTTGCAAAATAAAGAAGGTTGGACTCTCAGAACCACCGAGCTGTTGAAGAAAAGACTGCCCGGACTTAGTCACTTCCTGAGCAATCACTATGATTTCAGAAAAAAAAAAAATTCTTCCAGTATGAAGTGTTCCTCCTGACCATTCATCTTCTGCCATCAGATGCCAAAAATACGATATACATTGATTTTAAATTACTAACGGATAAAATGCATTTAATAAATGATAGTGATTGCTGCCCAATTGCTGAATCCACAGTAAACAAGGTAGGTAGACGTCAAAAACACTGAGGGTAATGGAAACCGCTGGGGTGCCTAGCGTGTTTGAAAGTTAAGCCACTTGTTAAGGTGCCTAAAAATGGAGTTAGAAGCCTAGGTTTAGGCTCGTAGTTTTGAGACTCTTGGCTGGTAGCATTAGCCTCCCCACTTCTAATTTTATGTCTGATAAATGTGACCAGCTGTTAGGAACTAGATGTTGTAAGCAATCAAATTCAAATAAAAAAAAAAATCAAGTAGCTTTGAACTTTTCCTTTAACTTAACTCCTGCCAAGGAATGAATACATTAGTATATGTTAAGCCACCTAAAGGTTACGTAAATGCAGAGATACGTTGGCAAGCAGGTTTAAATTCAGATATCTAGAATTAAGGCCTTGAACCTGGGATCTTTCTGTTCATAACACCCACTAAAAAAGTCAGTCAAATTTGAGTGCAGATGAATAGGATCAAGTATATAACCAGAAAGCCTCTGACAGGTATCTAACAAGTCCACTTACCTAGAGCTAATATATTCAGCCATAGATTAGTTTAATACTTTGCAATCCTGCTAGTGTTGCGAGGTCTGAGTTAGTCTACTTGTCTTTATCGCTGCATCCTTAAATTAAGGGCACTGATAGTGTGCAATATACATGATAGAGGTAGATGTGCAAGTGATAATTCTATTGCATATTCCAAATTCTAATTCGACGGTGCTTTTAAAATGATCAGTTTGTTCTAAACACTTGCTGGCCGTGCATCTCCTGGTGTTAGAACTGGAAGAAGAAACAACATTTTCTCTCCCACAAGGAAGAGTTCTGGAGATAACTAATACTGTTAGCTAGCTTGAATTTCTGCTTTCAAGTAAGATGTAGGTGAGATTCCTCCTTGCTGGTAGGTCTGAATCTTCCACATCCTATACTTGTTGCAAAAGCACTTTTCATTGTTGAGCTGCATCTGAAAAATCCTGACTCCTGATGTCTGGGTGAAAGCGTGGTGTTATTTTTATTGTCAGAGAAGGTTAAATGTCCTAATGTTGTCGCTAAAGCTGAGGATCTCAGACTGTGATCTGAGAAACGCTTGCTGATGGTCCACTGGGGAATTGATTGGTCACATGGTAAAGGCCCTCCTGGTTTTTCATAGATCTTTTTAAAGCCAGAAGTGACCAGTATGATCATCTAGTCTGACCTCTTGCATGACACAGGCCACAGAGTTAAAGTTTCCAACCTTTAAACTGCATCAAAATACACTTGCTACTTTGCGAATGTTACTTTTCCATGGATGTAACAGCCACAGAGATGTAGTGAGCTCACAAATGGGAAGGGAAGATGGTCCATGTGGCACTGTCTTGTCAGCTGTAGCCCACTCTAAAAGTTTGAGATCTGCTGCTCTTATGGATGGGTCTACTCTTCAGGCGCTACAGCGACACAAGTACAGCACTGCAGCTGTGCCGCTGTAGTGCCATAGTGTAGATGCTACAGCGACAGAAGAGGTTTTTCCATCACTGCAGTAAATCCACCACCCCTTTGAGAGAAAGTAGCTAGGTCAATTTAGTGGTGTCTATACTGGGGCTTAGGTTGGCTTAACTACATCTCTCAGGGTGATAATTTTTCACACCCCTGTGCGACGTAGCTAAGTTTTAGGTGTACACCAGGTTTCAGAAAATAAATACCTCTTTGATCTGCTTGGTCATACAAGGAATATAAACAAGGAGCAATGTAACAGATACAAGCATGTTCTTTATATGGTAGTTTGGTACATCTATTTTTCAAGCAACTGAACAAGGCCGTCTAGGTGTCATGTTTGAAATAAGAATATAAAGTTTATTCTGTCCTGACATTTTCAATAGGACTTACAATTTGTAAGGTAGTGCTTCCCAACACATCCATCACTTTAGATGACTATTTGTAGTTAGAGGCTTACACATCTCAATTACATTCTTTATGTAGTGGCAATGTCTTGAAGAGAGGCTCTTGGGGAAAAGTGTGTGTTTTGGCTATTTAAAGTGAAAGAATAAGCCACCTTGCAAAACGTTAAGCTAAAAATAGAAACCCCAGAACTGTTTTTACTTTTGAGCAAAAAAATCAAACAGAAGCAAACTGACAAGACATGTTAACACTTATTTGACATCCCGACAAATGAATTTTACATGATCCGAAAAGGAATGTGCTATCTTGCTTCTCACCAGCACGTAGGCTGGTGAGCAAGATTTTTGAACATCTTACACAAGCACAGAGACACTCTTCATCGGGAAATTGGCTTTTAGCACATGGCAGTGACTGCACATACACAGATAAATCCTGAAAATACATAACCCCCCAAGACTCTGCAACAAGAAAAATAAGGCCACTAGAAAAAAAAAGTTAAAAAAAAAAATTAAGTAACCAGGAGGCCATCAGTGACTGCTGATATGTTCTGCACACTGCAGATATAAAGCAGAACTGCTGCAATGGGATGGTGCTTCTGGCCCTAATTCAGCAAAGCATGTGCTTGACTCCCATTTGTGGCAGAGGTGACTAAAATGATCCAAAAGTCCAGCTCCTCAAGGGTAGGGCACAGGCTTGCTTTGGGGCATTTGGTGGGGGAGAACAGGCACCCTCTTTAGTTGTGTTTTTGAAACCGACTGCAAAGCTCTTCTCAGAAACTATTTTTTCCAGATAATTAAGGCGCCCAATTCAGGAAAGACCATGCTTAATTCCCATTGACTTCAACAGGACTAAACACCCTTCCTGAATAGAGATGGGTTCCTGACTAGTTGCAGATCTATCAGATAATGTTTACACAGACTGCAAGCTAGCTGTCAACTGCTAGTCAAACCACCATTTAAAGATTTACATACTGATCATGGTACTATAAAACGCCTCTAAAGTGTGTAGGTAAATGGCAGACTGAGAGAAACACATTCAAAGGAAAAGATAATTTTGATTAGTATCGATTGTGCATTACAGGATATAGTCTTATCTTTGAAGAAGTAAAACAAAACAAAGTTACATGGCCAAGACTTTGCAGAACTTTGAAGCAGCTTTATAGGTGCCTTGGCTCCACTCCCGCTCCTCCCCCTCTCTCCCAGGGCCTCCTGCATGCCACACAACAGCTGGCGGGCAGGAGGCACTGGGAAGGAGGGGGAGAAGTTGATCAGTGGGGTTGCTGGCAGCGGGGTGGGAAGAGCTGGCTGCCCGTTTTTTCCGTGGATGCTCCAGCGCTGCAGCACCCATGAAGTCGGCGCCTATGTCCACAGCTAGTGCCGCTCGTGGGGGGTGGTTTAATTATGTTGACCAGAGCGCTCTCTCCCGTTGCCATAGAGTGGCGGCACAGGAGACCTTACAGTGGTGCAGCTGCATCGGTACAGCTGTACTGCTGTAAGGTCTCTAGTGTAGACATGGCCTCAGAGTGCTGTCGATTATGCTGACGAGACCAAAAAAAAGGCCTGATTTTCTTAAGTACTGAGCACCCTTCACTCCCACTGAAGTCAGTGGGAGTGAAGGATACTTAGCACCTCTGAAAATCCGGTGAATATTTGTAAGATTGTAAAATATGGGGGGGAGGAAGAGAATTTAAAGCTAGACCAACACGGATATAAATAAGCATTTAAATTAAGTGGCTGTGAATCTGTGAGCATGAATGATTTGCAAAATGAAAGCAGGGTTAGTAAAGGGTGTTCAGTACTTGCTAGGGATATTCAGAATGACCAGAAATGGCCTCCTGGATTCTCACACAAGTTAGAAGGACTTGGGACAGTTGTCAAGTTTCCTCACATTCATACCACGAATGTTTAAGTGAGTCTAAACCCCTTTTTAAAGGGCCCTTGAGCCATTCATTGGTGCACCCTATCCCCGGCACTGCTGGAAAACACTCCCGATGCGTCCTGCATCCTCAAAAGAAAATGGAAGCCTGACCTAATTTAATACAATTTCTCTACGCGTACCACTCCCTTGACTTACTGCAAATAGCAACATATAAGCATGGTAAAAGAGAGCCCTAAATCATTACATACCTAACTAAACTGTATAAAGGTGCAAGATTGAATTAGTTCAGAAGGATTCAATTCACGACAGGCCCCCTGGATGCTTAGATTGGCCATCACTTGGCCTACCATTTTCATAATTCAGTTACTAATATTAGTTTAGCCACAGACCAGATGGACAACTGAATGAAAACATATGCAACCCATTTCAAAAAATGGTAAGGTTTCTGTGACCAGCACAAAATATTAGCCCAGTATCTTCAGCTATACAACATATACACAAAAAATATTGTGTCTTAATTTTGTTTTAACACCTTAACAATAAAACAGTTCTAAACATTATTCCCATAATGCGCCGACTCTTCACTCTGTGTTGTGCCTGGCAATACCAGTAATACAGAGAAGTCTATTTCCTGCTACACAGCCCTTGAGCTGATGCATAATTTTGCCACATCAGTGTCAACAGCTGTGGAATTTCTTTATTCAGCCAGTGGTCACACTTGGTTGGTTGGATCTCTCACAGTCACTGCTTCTTGGGGGGTTCCACAAGGAGAATAGGCCATATTCCAAAAACAAACTGAAAAGAAAAAGGGGAGAAACCAGATTTGCTTGCAATGTAGCTTCTCAGAACAGAAATACAGTTCACCTGTTCTCAGTTTCTTGGAATTAATACACAGAACACAATGTAAAAATAAAACCAGAAACAGGAAGGCTTGGCCAATGAGCCCAGAAGCATGCTTAAATGTAAGCCAACTGAATGGCCTACTTCTACACTGCATTAATAAGTACAAAATGATTGACAGCTTACCTTCACCTTTGGCCTGTACTTCAGGAAAAGTGTCCTTGTGTATAAGCTAGGGGGAGAAATCCAATGAGCATTTAACAACCAAAGTGCCATACAGTCGAGGTACACGGCTACACTTCAGGCTTTGTCCAGAGCAAATACAACACTGATGACAGGAGTGATCCCCCCATGATTTCCTGACCGTACCAGGAGCACTTCTGTGATCACAGCTCAGCCTCAGCTTGTTCTGCCTGGGTTTACCTGGCACAAACGGAGGACTAGTCACAGAGCCCTGTTTTACTGGCTGTCACACAGCAGCAAGTGAGCTGTGTCTCCCCATCCCCACCCTTAAGGAAAGGGAGAAAGGACCCTAGAAGAGCATTCCCTCTGCCTCATGGGAAACAGCAATCAGGGACTTGTCTCCCCCCTAGCCTGGAGGGGTGGGAGAGCAAACTCCCTGAGTAGCCAGGGTGCTCAGCAAAGTTGCATGCACTGATCAAAGAGCAAGTATAGGTTGCTCACAGCTTTTACACTTGTGCTCATCCACCCCCTCCTCCCACTGTGTCTGCGTCAACAATGGTTTTTGTTTGGTTTTACAGACCTTTACTTCGGGGAGGGAGGCACAGCTTGCACCTTCAGAAACCAGGCTGGGTATGTATGACAGTCACATGCCCCCTTAGCATTTATACAACACTGAAACTATAACATTAGCAAATGGAAGGTTGCACGGTCTAGTTCCTGGAGCAGGGTTCTGGGTCAGGGGAAATGGGGGCTATTGAAGACTCTGCCACTCACCGTGTGACATCTGGCAAATCTCTTAGGAAACCTGAGGCACAGAAATGCCTGAGCAACTCACTGAAAGAACTCAGGAGTTCCCAGCTTCTACCCTGGGGCTTAATCCGCTGGATTCCACTGTTTTATAACAATCGTGATAGAAGTCTACAAATATTTGAAGCTTGTAAACAGCAAAGGGTGAGGGGGATTATTTATCATGTCACAAAAGTATCTAAACTACTATAGAAGGAGAAGATGATGAAATTAACCAAAAGTGGCTCAATATTAGAAAAAGCTCTTACACTGAGAGCACAGACTATGGAATGTAAAACTACAGAAATGTAAAACTAGACTGGAGAAACACTAGGAAAATTATACTATAGGGAGATTACTTAGCTCATCTGGAAAAACACTCTCAGGGGTAATGCATGCAAAACCAATTCCCCTCCCTCCCCCATTTACGGCACTGCAAATCTAGCCTACAGTATTTAAACTGTCTGCATTGATTTGCTTTCTGTGAGGAACTGTCTATATCTAGGTGTACTCAAGCCATGCAGAACACCTGCCTTCTACACTGAGCAGCTGCGTTCAAGAGGAGAGCAAGAAAACGCTATCACAAGGAGGCTGTTGGGACTGTCCCTAGTGAAAGAACCAAAAGGAAAATAACCAGCTTTATAACTGGCAAAAACAAACAAACAAACAAACCCCAACCCTGCTCTCACTGTGGAAAAAAGTGTTTGAGAAGCGATTAAAATTCATACACTAGCTGGAATACCTCTTAAAGATATTTATTTTATGATTAGGGCCCTACCAATTTCATGGCTGTGAAAAATGCCTCACAGACCCTGAAATAAGACCTTCCCTGTGAAATCTGATGTCCCCTTGTTCCTAGGAGCGCCCCAGCAAAGGGGGCTCCTAGCTCTGGTTGGGCTGGGGAGGGACAGGACTTGTCCATCCCCTTCACAGCTGCTTTGGGGGACGGGGGAGGGGAGACCAGACCCACCTCCACCTCCAGGAATGTCCTGCGGCTGCAGGAAGCTCTGCGGTTGCTGCTTTCAGTGTCCAGCTCAGAAGGCAGCACAGAACTGAGGGTGGCAATCCCATGACCCCCCGACAACAGGTTTGCGGACCCCCCACTATCAGAATCCCCCACAATCCCCCACGGTTACAATACCATGACATTTCAGATGTAAATATCTAAAAATGTGAAATTTACCAATTTTCAAATCCTATAGCTGTGAAATTGACCATAGCGGACTGTGAATTTGGTAGAGCCATATTTATGTTTCAGAGGAGCGACAAAGCCATTTTGATGGCACCTTGCAAATAAGCAACAAAAATATTTTAAACTGCCAGCCTAACCCCCATTCTAATTCTGATCTAAAACAGACAGCAGTAAATAAAGAGCCAAAAGTGATTGGAAAATTTGAAAAGCACCTCCTGTGACCATGAATACAGCTCCATTCTTGCAAATACTTACGCGCATGCTTAACTTTACTCCCATGAGTAGCCCCACTGAAATCAGAGATGCTTGGACATCAATGTAGTATTCTACATGAAGACAGCACCATTGTCTCCCTGCTCCATTAGATATCTGCACCAGTTTTCAGCAGTGGTAGTGCTCATAGAAAGTTAAACACGGGTGTAAGTGTTTGCAGGATTGTAACCCAAAGGAATACAAATGTTTAAGTTAACATCTTATGTTTGAAAAATGAAGGAATACAAGCTCAAGTGCACTGGCATTTTCACTGCTGGACAGATAAAAACCACAGGATTGCCATTGTGAATTACAACCCACCCTGCAGCATAAACAATTCTATACTCTAGTATATAGTCTTCTTAGACAGATTTCTCTACCAGTTACAGAAACTTCCATCCCATTAGTTTAATAAAAATGGTTATTTTCCCGATCTTTTCAGCTAATATGACATTTAAAGGGCAAGGTGCAACTGGGAAAAAACCTGTCAAAAACTAATCCTAAAACAGTTTCATGAACATCTAATTTAGGCAATGCCTGCTACCAAGGTAAATTCCCCAATACCCACAGAACAAAGCATAATTATGGAATAGATATTATTTTGCTCGTGTGTCTGGTACTCTAAAATGATGCACTCCCAACTAGCAACTCAAATCTAAAACCCATTTATAGAAACCTCACATACTTTGCTTAACAAGCTATGGGGAAAAAGGCTGTTTCCTACCTTAGTAGGATATGAAGGTAAGAGCCAAGGCCCGTAAAAATGTGCCACCAAGCATGAAACTGTGTCACGGCTCCCACGACAGGAGGCATCTTCTCTCGTAATCCCCTGTTCAAAGAAACATATCACAATGCATTTTTTTTCCAGACTACGCAGTCCCAAGAAGCAGTGTTCACTTGTCAGATCGCGTCACTCTTTCTGTATCTCAGTCATGTACTTCATGCGTTCAGTCTTTACTAAGTTAACGACTGCCTGTTTTTTTCCATTTCTAATTTGGGAAGACGTTTGCTGAACCAGTCTTCTCATAGGTTTGGAAAACTACTGAGAGTCTTCTACTTGAAAGGAGTACTTAAATGGTTTAGACCCATAACTTCAGGTATCATACTATTTAAGACACCAGAAAATACTAATGCATCTTACTTCTTTCCCGCCAGTTTCCTGGCCAGTGTGAAAAAACAGAAGGTTTGAGAGAGATATTGGAATCCTTCCGAAGAACTCTGTATAAGCTCAAAAGCTTCTCTCCCACCAACAGAAGTTGGTCCAATAAATATATTGCCTCACCCACCTAATCTTGGGACTGACATGGCTACAACAACACTGCATACCCACTTCTCTGTATCTGGTAGCCACTTCATCCCCACTCACCAACTTCATGTGAAGTTTGTCTTGCCTTTCTCTCCTTCCCAGTGTGAGGCAAGGACACACTGGGTGGACAGCTGTGAACCAAAGCACCAAGGACAGCAACTGCCCGATATATAATTCAAAGTGACTCTGGGTATGTGGGGCCCCAGAACCTAGGCTCCAGCCCAAGCCCAAATGTCTACACTGCAATTTTATAGCCCTGCAGCTGAGCCCTGGGAGCCCAAGTCAGCTGCCATGGGCCAGCCACGAGGGTTTTACTGCAACGTAGACATACATTGAAGAGCTTTGCTGGTAGGAAGCAGAATTCAGTGCAGAGCTTGAAATGCTCTGCCCAGTTGGTTGACATTTGGCACTTTTAAGGGACGAGAGCTGCTGGGAAAAAGGACAAAGCAGAGAGAAGGGAGTCACGTTCTCTCAGCTCCTTTTCCTCATCACAGAGTTCTAGAGACAAGTATGATTACGTTGGTTTTAATTTGAGGTGGAGAGAGACAGTTTAAATATCTTTTCCTTCCTTTAAAAAAAAATCTATTTTCACATTCAATCATAAAAATTGGAGACGGTAGCTGATTTGATTTATTTCCTGTAGCCCCTGTTAACTAGTTAGTGTTAGTCCTAGAGCTGGATATGCTTGTGCAGATACAAATATGCTCATAAATAGCCAGGCTAATGTCATTCTGCATTGAGAACAGAAAGGTGAACCTCCACAACGTATATGTAACACATCAACACTCCTGGATCCATGCTCATAGCCTTGAGTGGCAGGGGCTCCCATAGCCACAATTCAAAACTTGGTGGCTCCATCCAGAGGGGTGCTCTGTGCTAACCTAGCTGTGGAACCGTAGCAACCTTCAGTATTTTCTTCAGTTCCATTCTCTGTGGAAGCTGAAACATGTTACAGAAGTGAAGTACAAAATGGTTACAAAATCCTGAAATTTAAGAGGAGGTGGGTGGGTTCGTGTGACTCATAACTTAGGGCATGTCTACACTTACTGGGGATCGACACTGTGGTGATCTATGCACCGGGGGTCGATTTAGCGGGTCTAGTGAAGACCCACTAAATTAATCGCAGATCGTTCTCCCATCGACTATGGTACTCCACCAGAACGAGAAGCGTAAGGTAAGTCGACGGGAGAGTGTCCCCTGTCGACCCAGCGCAATGGAGACACTGCAGTAAGTTGACCTAAGCTATGTTGACTCCAGCTGTTACGCACTTAGATGGAGTAGTGTAACTTAGGTCAACTTACCCCCGTAGCATAGACGAGGCCTTAGATTTCCAAAGAATAAAAATTACAAGCAAGAAAACATATCTTCTCCAAGGGTACCAGCTGTAGTAAGTCACCCCTGGAGATTCCAAAGCTCCAGGGACTTCTGATTAAAGCTATGAAACAGGTACAGTTGAATTAAAAAATACTGCAACAGGCAGCAATGCACATTGTACGGTAGGAAGTACACTGACATTTTTTCCTTTTTGCCAACTGGAGATGGAAAAAGGTGCTTCTAGCTATTGATGCAATCTACTACAATGAAAACTGCAGGCAAAGGGCAGACTCCCTCAATTGATGGAGTGGTTTTGACCTCACCGTTATGTCAGCATGGCTGAAAAAGTAGTCAGCCCTTGTGCCAGTACCTGCAGCTTCAACGAACACCCTGTCATTTGTGCTGACAGAGTCACATCCCTGCGCCAGATGTATCAATAGCATCAAGTTTTGGGCATGAGCCTCAACTGACAGATGGCACATTCACAGGTCTGAAAGCTCCAAGAGAACTAGGACCAAGTTTCAGCTGGCCCAATGTTGTGCATACATCATTAACAGCCACAACTGTGGTGGAAGGAGGATGTCAGGTTATACAATATGCCCTGCTGGGTTCTCGCCCAATATAGTAAACT